GAAGGGTGAGGGCTGCAGACTGGGGCTCTCCCGTGATTGCATCCCACGTCTGCCCTTTTTGGCTGAGTGAGTGACCTTGGGTGAACAGGGAACCTCTGAGCCTGACATTCCTCACTTGCAAGATCAGGGTTCATTCTCATGCCTGCTAAGGGCACTGTTTTGAAGCGAGCACCTGGCACGGTGTGTTGTATGCAGCAGGCACTTAATAAATGCTTTAGGCGAGGAAGCAGAAGCACTTTGAACCTTTCAAATCATCCAGACTGCTTATGGACTCTCATGTTTCACTTCCGCCCTAGGCGTTGTGGAAATTTAGTCTACAAAAGTTTATTTTTTTCTCCCTGAAATAAAAAGTATTTTCTTTTCAGATTTTTTTCGGAGGGAAGCTGTCAGGCTCATTGCTAAACGCTCCACATCATTACCTATTTAATCCTCTCGGAAGGAAAAGTCCTATGTTTAATTCACTGCCCTGCTAAATGTCTCCAGAAATATTCATGATGACAGGAAAGGGTAGGCTACGACAGACCACAGAGCATGGAGCAGGTAGAGATGGTTAGAAATAAACAAGTGACTGCCGGGCAGAGCGGCAAAGAGGTCTTGTTCCCAGAGGTGCTCACGAGGATCTTTTCTAATCAGGTGCCAGGGACTATTAAACTCTGAGAGTTTAGTGGGTCCCTAATGTGAATGAATGAATGAATGAAGTGAATAAATGAACATGAGTGCATGACTATTGAACATAGCTGATCATGAAGCAGATATCGGAGTGAGCAATTTTAGCTCTCTCTTCTGCACAAATGTCGAAGCCTAGCTGCCGCCTCAACTGTGTGACTCTGAAGTGGCCCAGGGTCTTGCTTGGCTGGGAACGGGATTTGCAGTCTGTCTGAGCTTTTCGAGCCAGTTCAGATCCAGCCTTGGTAGAGGACAGCCCCAGCACGTGTGAGGGCATCATTTACATCCGACATCTGACATCAGGACTTCTTCATGGAGTTATTCCACTGACCTTGATGGTTTAACCATGGGACCTTTTTAGGAAGGGTGGCCCTGAGCTGGGTGGACCTCTTATTTCTGGATCCTCTGAGATGCCCCAGGATTGAAAGATGAACCTGAAGGTAAGGCTTTCTGGTGGCAGACGGGAGCAGGGCCAGTCTTGGCAGGTAGCCTTCAGGGCGGTTCAAATGTTTGCTGGGGGTCTAATTGCTTTCACTCAGGCTGGCCCCTGAGGACACCAGAACCAAGTACGTGAACCCAATAAGGTAAGTCTTTGCAGGGTCTCCTCAGCTAGAGTTCATATAGGCAGGGTCACAAGAGGAAGGTTGCATGCCAGGGTGAGGCGCTAATGCGGGCACTACCAACTGAGGCCGCACTGCAGGGCTCAAGGCAGCAGCCAGCAAGAACATAAACGCCCTAGGCTGTTCTCAGGTCCCTTCATTCTTTTTTCCCTTAAGTCAAGGTGTTAGTAAATGGCATTGAGCTGGGAGAGTGTGATCTGAACCTAGAAGCAGAGTTTTGAGTGCGAGTGTGTTTCGCACCAAAGTAGAAATGAATTTTGTAGGACCCGCTTTTAAAAAACACCACTTGCCTCCTCTGCCGATCCTGTTCTACTTCCTCTGGCCCACTTCCTTTTTTCAGGCTCGCTCATTTATTTTTTAACTTTTTTTGGGGTCATCATTACCCATTGTTTCCAATCAGCTTCCCTTTTCTGCACTTCCTCTCATTAGGTGGCCCAAATCCGTTCGTTCTCTTCTAACTGATCTTTTTTTCACGTTACAGCCCCTACACTCTGTTGGCCTTGAGTCTTGCTTACTGTTTTCTAGATCCATTGCATCATTTTTTTTTTTTTAACCCTCCTAGGTCTCTGCTTATGGCTTTTCAGGCCCTTGAGTGAAGAAGACTCAGTTTAACAAAGTTCAGTCAAATGCCAAAAAAAAAAAAGATACGTTTAATTTTTTTTCTCCTTGGACCAAAGGAAACTCAAGAATTGCTTGAGCCCTGATCCCTGCTTTTCCCATGGGGTGCCATTGTGCTGTTGACATTCGGAAACTGAGCTTATCTTCAGAAGGTTCTAGTTTAGAAGGAGCAGAGGCTTCATTCCTGGATGCCTGCTAAGTAAAATGTTCCGTACACAAGATCCTGTTTACTTTTTTCCACAAGCCCACATGAGAACTGACTCTCCCCACAACCTCCACTGTACAAATTAACCGACAGTGACTCAGAAAGATTTGAGAAACTTGTCTAAGGGAGTAACCTAACCAGGATTTCAACCCAGATGGATCTCTGCACAAAACCATGTTCCCTGCACTGCATGATGCTTTTCCTCTTGCGGGGGTGTGGGAGAAAGATGTGCAGATCATTGCAGGCCACATCTCTAGGACTAGAGCTGAAAAATAAGAGATGCGGCACCCCCTGCAAAGATGCTCCATGACCTTCAGTTCGTATATCGAGAAATCAAGGCAGAGCTGGAAGTGAGCCACCCAGGGTCCCCAGCCATCCATGGGCTGTGTGGCCCCCTATGAGGTACATGGCTCTGAAAAGCCTCACGTGTATTTGAGGGCAGGAAATAAGCCGACTGCTCAGCCTTCAGCCATTTCTTCTCCAGAGATTTCTTTACCAGCATTGATGAGAGCTAGATTCTGGGAGTCTCGCAGTGAGGACCACCTAGCTGCGGCTGGAGCCGTAAATAACAACATGCTCTCCATTTCCCGCACAGCATTTCATGGAGGTCGCCCGCCAAGTTCTGAGTCCAGCAGGGAGACAGCCAGGAAGAGTGTTCAGGCTTGCATCATGGAACATCTTCTTTTCAGGGGGTGCCACATCTCTTATTTTTCAACTC